CGGCCAGGCATGGTGGCTCATGCCTGTAATCCCAGCACTTTGGGAGGCCGAGGCGGGTGGATCACGAGGTCAAGAAATCAAGACCATCCTGGCCGACACAGTGAAACCCTGTCTCTATTAAAAATACAAAAACATTAGCTGGGCATGGTGGCACATGCCTGTAATCCCAGCTACTTGGGAGGCTGAGGCGGAAGAATCGCATGAACCTAGAAGGCGGAGGTTGCAGTGAGCCGAGATTGTGCCAGTGCACTCCAGGCTGGTGACAGAGCAAGACTCCGTCTCAAAAAAGAAAGAAAGAAAGAAAGAAAGAAAAGGTTTCATTATAAAGTAAGACTTGCCTAGGAAAAAAGAAGTATATATTTTTCACATGCAGTGAAAAATGTTTCCTTCCTACTCCTACCCCTGGCCCTATTCCCCATGGGTAATCACTCCCAGTGATTTCTTGTTAATCCTTCCTGATATATTTTTAATGCATGAACAAGCATAAATATAAAATGCACAAATTTTTAAAGGTATGGGTCTTACAAAGGTATGCGTTTGTGTGAATTGTACAAATACAAATTTGGGCATATTAAATATTTCTACACATTACTTTTTGCACTTAGAAATGTATTTTGGGGATTTTTCTGTATCAGCACAAAAATATCACCATAATATGCCATTGTGCGCATGGACCATCATTTTTTTAACCAGTCCCCTTGATGAACACTTGGATAGTTTTCGGTATTTTGCTTCTCTCGTGTTGTAATGAATGTCCTTGCATATGCATCTTTGGATATGTTTGAGGTCCTTTGTGGAAGAGATTTTTAAAGGCAAGTGCTAAGTTAAATGGTGTCTTTTTCTTTTTGTTGTTTTAGTAGATCTTTGTAGAATGGAAGTTGGGTGTGGTTTCTCACTATCCTAAACCTCCCTAGTTTCTGTTTTTGGCTGTGCTGTGGGTTGGCTTTTTAGGGGTTAAAGGTACAGGTTTGGAGGATGGGTTTCCTTCCAACTTGGCTGCAAGTTGTTTAGAGATGGCATTGATAATTTCATACATTATCTTCTTGTCGACTAAGAAAGGTCATCCCAATTTATTGGGCTGATTACCAAAGATAACGGTGACAATTCACCAATTTAGTGTTTATATCATTTTATGGGTTGGCCTGTTGCACTGGGATAAATGGATGTATATTCTCACTCCGTCCCTTCCTTCCCCTACTAAGGAAAATGTTTTCATTGTTCACTCAGCATTCCCATCATCCCCAGACATTTATTACACAAAAAGGAAAACTCACGGGGGTGAGAAACAAGGAGTGGGAGTGGAGACATTTATTCCACAGATAAAAAGAACAGGAAAGAAAGAAGAGGTAAAGTTGGCAGCTTGCTGAGTTTTTTACTAAGAGTTGAGAATTGTGGAGAGGTTGGGAAGGGAATCACTTTGAAGCAGTTACTGTGTGGAAGGATAAGAGGTATTGAAAGGGGGCTTTAAACATGTTGTTGTGAGTTATGAATTGGGTGTCTTTTTAAGACAAATATTGGAAATGCCTTTTAGTGCCTTTTCGCTGCTAAACTGTTCTTTGAATGTCACGTTCCTCCAAAACTGGACCATGTGGTACTGCAAATGCACTTGGGTTATGCTATTACCACTGTCATCGTCATCGACCATCCTCCTCATCACTGCTACTGTCTCTTAAACATGTTTGTGTGAAAGATACAGCATCAGATGTTTTACCTAATTAAAAAAAATAAGGTAGGTAATATTACTATACCTATTTTACAGAGGAAAAAACCCAGGAAAGTGGTTTCAGCATTTTTTGCCCCTGGCCTCATGGCTGAAACTTAATCTGTGTCTATTTCAAAAGGGCGCGCTTGAATCCGCTATCATCCTGGTCATTAACATCTTATTAGTGTAATCTATCTTAATGCAAATGTGTCCTTAATTTTTCTTCAAATATATGTTTGAGCCCCTTTGTGGTGAACCCCAAATTCATGGTTGCCTAAAAATTTTCCTAGAGAGATAGATTGTGTTCCTTGAGAAACCATGAAGGATTAACTCCTAGGAATTATGTAAGGGCAACCAGGTCTGGAGTGCATTTGTAGATCGTGGAAACAAGATGCAGTAACATGGAGGTGAGGAAGTCTTCTGATGCTCAAGAGGAGTGAGTCCAGGTGCCAAGAGATGAGACTATAGAATTAGACCAGGACTAGCTATGAAGGAATCTGAAAGCCAGGCTTCTGGATTTGGTTTTATGATAAAGATGTGAGAAATCTTTGATGGGTTTTGAGTAGATTTCCCTTTTAAGAAGATCATACCAGCTGCAAAAGAGATGATGCAATAGAAAGGAGAACTAGGAGGGGTTGGAGGACAATGGAAACACTGATGGAAAAGTCTAGGTAAGAGATGATAATGGGTGAACTCAGGCCAAGAGGAGGGGCTACGAAAGGACCTAGAAACAGATTGGCTGTGGAGACTGAGAAAAAGGGAGGATTTCTGGATGTCTCTGTCTCTGGGGTTTCTAGTCTGGGTGACTGCTTAGAAGTCCCAGGCCACACTGCTTAGCATCAGCCCAGAGCAGGGAGTCCCAGGACCATGAATAAATCCTGCAGCCCCAGGAGACAGTTCTGTTGTATCACTTGCTTTCTGCATTTTTACCTCCTTCTTATTCCATAATCCTTGCCCTATGGAAAGGGACCCACAGTTTCTTACCAGAGCTCAATTAAATTAGCTCTGAGCCCACCCCATTCACGAGTCCTGTGTGCCCGCTCACTTTCCCTGCCAAGAAAATCTGCCCAGGCAGCAGAGCCCCATGCCAGGGATGTACAATCCCGTTACTATGATTAATTTGGATAAACATATGTTAGAGAAGCAACAGAAAGTTAGCTCTCCTCCATGAACGAGAACAAGCTGTGTCGAACCGGGGATCATCCAAGCTTCAAATTTGTAGGCAACTTCCAAGGAGAATGGGATGAGGTGGAGTTACAAAATTTCAAAGCAACGAGGACACTGTTTGTTCCTTGAGGGGAATCTCCTCATTGCAATTGCTTCTTCCAGGTTGGTTGATAAGCAGAGCTGAGAGCGCTGGAGAGGAACTGAGCCTTGATTTTTTTTCCCCGCAGAGCCCGGAGAAAGAGCTACTCTTTATAGAGACAGTTTAATAGAGTGGTCTAGAGCTGTGGCACCAATGTCAATGGGACTTGGGGACACAGCCTGGCTCGGCCACTGACCCACTGACTGTGGAAGCGTAGTACAGGGACTGTGCCTCTCAGTCTCATTTTTCATCTGCGAAGCATAGGGTGATGAAGTCATTTAACTCATCTGGGATCTTGAGGATCCCAGATATAAAGTATATTCAAGCAACACACGCTTTTAAGCATCAGGCAGCGTGCTAAACATCAATACTGAATAAAGCAGACTGGCCTCCTGTCTTCTCGGATAGCACAGCCTAGTAGATCTTCACACCCCTCAGGCTTCATTAGTGACTCCCTCCTGCGTGCCAGACACCACACTGCAAGCTTTTGTTTATTATTATCTTCAGCTTCAACCAAAAGCTGAGAGGTAAGCATTCTGTAGAGCCCGCTGTCTTTTGTCTTTAAAACGCTAAGTTCATTTAAGGATGAGATTGATATGATCCTCTATCCACCAAGCCCTTGGTGAAGGAGGACCACTCTGTAGCATGACAACCTTCCCTTGCTACTTGGGGAAAAACTATCATCTATCTCGGGCTTTTAAATATTACCTCATTATGTTCTGTTTACCATTGTCAGAAAGAGCCACGTTCTGGTCTTGGCTGGGATTTGCAAGACCCGGTGCATTAAAGAGGGACTTGTCTACTCTAATCAGGTGAGAATCAGGTTGCTAAGGAGACCATTGTCATAGTAAATCAGTAAACACTGGGATGCGGATGGCTCCCCTGAAAAGGGGGTGCTTTCTCTTTTGAGAAAGGAAAGCAACTCCCTTTGGATTGGAGGGGAAAGCCATCATGGAGAACTGTGTTTGAAAAGAGATGAAACCACTTTGCAACTCTTTATCTTTCCAATTTATCATGAAGTAAAAGGAGAGGTAGGAGGGACACGCCTTACATTTTGCCTAATCCAGAAATCTGGGCTTCCTGAGCTTTCTTCTGGAAACCTTGTGCCCTGCACTCAAGAACAAGTGATTAAAAAAAAAAAAAGATAGAAAGAGAAAATAAAAACAAAATTAGGAGCAAAAAAAAACCAACAATAGGAGAGAGTAAAAGACTGGATTACTAGACAGCAGGCACCTAATGAGGCAAGCACTTTGGATGTCAAACTGAACACCGCACACTGCTGGAGGAACTAATCCTACGCCTGAGATGAGCTCATTCTGCTTGCTTAGGAAAAGCAAAGCAAAAGCATTAATCTTTTTCCTGATTGATAGCAGACTTGGATTAATAAAAAAGTGCCTATGCATGTATTTCTTGCGATAAAATATTTATTGCAGAATGTTAAAGGAAGATTGATTGACCAGATGAATCAATAGTATTCCAGGTTGCTGAAGCTTTAAGTTCTGTCCTCCAACAAAAATAAATGTATCCAAGGAGTATTCAAATTGTTGAAATCCTCAGCTGTCACTGGTCGAACTCTTGTAAGTACTCAGACTGATCTATATAAAGCCAAAACAGGAACCCACCAAAGAACTCAGCTTCTCAACCACTTTCGTTTCATCGGACAAAATATCCATGAATTATACGTGCCCGATGGAAATATAATGAAAATCTTATCCAACAATTTCAATTTGCAGAAGAAAAGATTGGAAGCTAGAGAGGGTTGATGGCCTGCTCAAGGGCAAGCAAGCCTTAACTAGAACCCAGGTATCCTCACTCCTGGTCCTGTCTACCTTCCACAAAGGAGACCTGTTGGTTTATTTGATGGTTTCAAGTTCTTCATTGAAATTAACCATGGTATGGCATCATGTGACCTCCCATCAATCTGAGCCACAGGAATCTAACCTGATCAATTAATTTCTGCCTCATTTTATTCTGTTCTCTTCCTTCTCATAGGAAGTAACGTTTCTGTCAACAACGTCAGCTCCTTCTCAGCTCTTCGTTTCCTGCAGTTCCTGTCTTGCCCGACCCCTGCAGAGTGGAAGAAGGTGATGGATGGGTAGAGAAAGGGGAGATGGACAGCTGCCAGGGAAGAATCTGTGATTCGGGAGCCTTTTGGTGACATGCACTGTCAAAGGACTAGGACAGAATGGCTTTTTCAAACAGCATAAATAGAAAACCAGTGGGCCCGAGCGCTCGCTGCTACATAATGAACGTGCCTGCCTTTTGCTAGCAACATTTTAAATCAGTAATTGGCCCGACAGGGGACGTGAACTGTTCACTGAGTCACAGAATAGGACAGAAAATCTCAGAATGGCTTCACCTCCCATCAGGAAAGCCGCCTGTGTGCCAAGCCCTGTAGAGATGCATTTCTGGCATTTGGAGGAGTGCAGACATTCAAAATAAGAAAGGGCTTCAGAGGACAACCGTCCCCAAGGTCCCCGGTCTTTTCCACATCAGAAGACTCTTTGATATGTTCCCCTCTTTCCCTAGGGCCCCTTGTTCTAAAGGATACAGTCGGCAAACTAAACTGCTCTGATCATCTAAAAAAAAAAAAGGATGTTTCCCACAGAATAACCACAGATCTATATAACGGATGATCACTTAGTTAATATGATGCCTCTAAAAGATAAGCGGCCTGTCTCATCTAAAATAATCATAATGTCAATAATAATATGATTTTATTGGGTGCTTGCTAAAGCTCAGATGAGGGATTTACAATGCTTATCCTACTTCATCCTTACGAGACTATCATAAAGTTGTCTTTATTTCAGAGTTCAGGAAACAGAAGCATGGAGTCCTGTAACTTACTCAACTAGGATCAAAACCCAGGTTTATCTGACCGCAAAGTCAGTCTTTTTTTTTGTGATTTAGCTTCCAAAGTACATTGCCTATACTTAACCACTCCATGCTACAGTTTTTCTATTAGTCTTTTTGAAATATTGACACTCATTTTGGGGAATGTCCATCAACTTCTTCACAAGCTTCTGCAAGATTGGAGGCTCTAGGGGTTAAGTGTTGTTGTTTTCCTTTAATAGTTAAAGAATGGAGACCCACAGAGGGCTGGAAACTTGCTCAGTATCGACCTAGCTAATTAGCAGCAACACTAATTTTAAATGCTAGCTTTAAAAATTCTGGGTTCTGAGATCTTTATGTCACTCTCAATTTGAGGAAGTAATAGTTGAATACCTACCAGAGGGAGAGCGGATAAATAGCAAGCATGTCATCCCCCTCATGACCAATAGCCATGGCAGACATTACTAATAGATCATGAAACTCTTTCCTGCTGAATCTGGATGTGGCTCTATGCAGGCACTCCCAATCAATTAGAATTGGCAAATGAGACAAATCTTGTTCACTATTGGCACCATATGCAACACTGTTCAAGGTCCTCAAGATGATGTAAAACAAGCACGAAATGAGGGTCTGCTTTCAAAAATGCTATCACTTTCAGAAAATTATTTCAGTCCAAAGTAATTTCTTTCGAAGTACTAGGGCAGACCAACTTCTAATGCCAGTGATTTTTGGAGACAGGCAATATCATGAGTAGATTGATAACCTGTTCATAAAGTCAAGATCAACCAGGACGAGCGTAGGGATAGGGACCATCTTGAGGAGATGGGATGTGAGAATGTGAGTGGGAGAAGGTGGTTGCTGGAGGGTCAGTCAATAGGGGAAGGCATTAACTCAAGAGAAATGTGTGAGTGCATGAAGCGGAGAGTGGGGGTGGAAATGTAATCTGACAAGGAGGGACACTGAAATCGATAGCTCAGAGAGAATGCAGTATCCATTGTGCTCCAGGAACAGCAATAGTTTGCATGTTTATCTCCTCAAACTTCATGTTGAAATTTGATCCCCAGAACTGAAGGTGGGGCCCAATGGGAGGTATTAGGGTCAAAGAGAAAGATTCCCCATGAATGGCTTTGAGCTGTCCTCATAGTAATGAGTGCAATTCTCACTCAATTACTTCTTGCAAGAGCTGGTTGTTAAAAAAAGGCCTGGCATCCCCCCCACTTTTCCTCTCTCATCATGGGATCTCTGCACACACACTCTCCTTTGTCTTCCACCGTTAGTGGAAGCAACTTGAGGCTCTCACCAGATGCAGATACTGGCGCCATGTTTCTTGTACAGCCTGCAGAACCGTGAGCCAAATAATCCTCTTTTCTTTATAATTACACAGCCTCAGGAATTCCTTCATACAACGCTAAGTGGACTAAGACATGGACGAAGCTGAGATTTAAGGGTGGATGGAGCAGGTGAAAAATATTCATTGTGGCATATCAACACTTCCAATCAAGATAGCTCTTCTCTTTGCCTCTTCACCTTTTTTAAAGAAGTGACCGTGGTAAAAGAAAGAGTTATAGAATTGGGAGAAAGTGATAATATAATATAGACCCTTCCAAAACCTTTGGGACATTTTCCCCCTCTGAAATAGACTTGGACAAGGACATTTTCTGACTCCCAGAAGTGGTGAATGCCACGTGATCAGCAAATTCTGTCAAGACTCTCCCAGCCAAACAAGTCTATGTCATCTTGCTTGTTACTTTACCTCTTTAAAGGCAATGACTACTGAGACGATGGATCTCAGAAACATTAGCAAAGGGAGTCGAAAGAACAAAGGGAAGAGGATCCAAATGTGGAGTGAAGAAGAAGGAGATGGTGTGAGTTACTAAGTACAGAACAGCCCAACTCCATGGTGGGAAAGAAAGAAACTATGCAAATGCCAGGATAAGCATTTCCACTTTGGAATTCTAGGAAATGAGAGTTTTCTGGAGAAGTTTTTCATCAAGGAAGAAATTCTATCTCATGAATGTGTCAAGATTTAGAACCAAGCCCCTTTCACAGGCAAGGGAAGCTCAGGTGCGCGTTGACTGTGCCCTGAGTTTGGGAAAGAGGACAGTGTCTTCCTGGGCTAAGCAGCTGTCTGCACCACTTTGAATCAATTTCCACTTGAACATGTGGCCACTGCCTTCCAAACTCCATCTTCGAACCCCAAGAATGCATCATACAGAATTAGTCTCACAATTCCACAGACAAAACTAGCTTCTGCGATGAGATATCAGCCCTTGACTGGCGGTTAATTACGTACAATTCAAAATAAACCCCCTGTTGTTCAAATCACCCTTGCCTCTGGAGCTCTTGGAAGAAGAAATTGCATGCCATCCTGGGTAAGGTTGGAGAAGGTGTCTGGGTCTAGGCTGCAACATTTGGCACATCTTAAAGACACACGTAAGAACAACACGGTAGATTGTTGTGAGAGCTGAGGACAGACTTTGCAAATCAGAATTCTGGGGGAAATGATTTTAAGCATAAAAATGTTTTTTTAATGATTATTCTATCAGCCTTGTGATCGGTGCAGGACTTTGTTCCTGTTGAAAGAAGTAAAGCCTTGGTACATCCCCAGCATCCTTTAGTGAGCTCTCTAGGGCAGGGATCAGGGAACCGCAGCCTGTCAGCCACGTTCTACTCACTCCTTGTTTCACCAGAACACATCATTTGTTTACATATGTTCTATGGCTGCTTTGAACTACAACGGAAGATGTGAGTAGCTGCAGTGGAGACCAAATAGCCTGAATGGCTCACGGAGCCTAAATTATTTACTACCTGGCTCTTTATAGGAAAAAGTTTGCCAATCCTTGATTTGGGGAAACATCAGGGAAACCACCTAACCCTGTGTTTTGAAGCTGGGTTCTGCTGGTCCATGACCTTCTGATCTTTCCTCTGCTCTGGGAAGGAAATTTGCAGTGTAGGAAATTGCAAAGGAGCTGTCTCCCATAAGTGTGTTTGAGGCTCCTCGGCCAACTGTCTTCTGTCTGGAATCGGCAATGGCAGATACTGACAGTAGACTAAAGAAGGAAAAGATTAAACACACACACATGTATACACGTATACACACACACATTTACATATACACACAAACAGCACAAACACACCCACCCACACATTTATACATATGTACCTTATACACACACAAATATGCACACAGATACACACATGCATGCATATACATCTACATACATATCCACAAAAACATGCACACATTTATACATATACACATACACATATGCACGTATACACACGTACACATACACACAAGCATATATACCTATACACAATAGACACATAACAGACACATGCCCACAGTTTTACATATACACATATACACACATACATTCACATGCATGCACACACTCATGTATGCACACATGAACACATACCACATATATACACATATACATACACACACATGCACGTGCACACACACGTGCGCACACACACACACCAGTCAGCATCTCCAGTGGCAACCGTCAACCTTCTGTGGCTGCAGTTACTGTTGCCTGGCCCCCTGTGGTGCCAGCTTTTGCTGAGGGATTCCAGATCCTGAATTCTTCCTAACAGGAGGTGGTAGGAACTTCCTGCCATACCACTCTCTGTGATATCCCAAGGTTGCTAGTAAACTCCTCAGCCCTTCCATCCCTGTATAACCAGTTCCTTTTGTCAGATTCCTGCTTTTAAATCCATAGATTTGTTTCTGTTCTCTTGATTGGGTCCTGACAGCTCCAGGTCCTGACCCTGAATCCTGGCCACAGCGTGATAGTCCTGTTAGGGTCAGCTTTCTGTTTTCCACTTTGATGTGGCTGTTGGAGTTTTGCTTTGAATATTGGGTGGCTGTGTTCTTTCAAATTGTTGGAGCAGCTTCATGAGCTAAGGAGTCCTTGCTAGAATCATGGCTTCTCCACCCTCACCAGATGAATATCCATCTCCAACTTCCAGTATCTCTCTCCTGCCCACAGTGAGATGGGACTCCAAGGAGGTGGCACTATAACAGCTCTCAGCTCCTGCGCTCCTACCACCAGGAAAAGTCATTCTTATGATGCTCTTTGCTTGTTTCTGCACTGCTCACACTCCCAACACCCTCCGCCCAACTCCAGCCTCTTAGCCACGTAGATAATAACCCTGACCTCACTCCTACTGCAGATTGTTCGGTTTTGATGCTCTCAACATGTGAATCTTAGCCCTTTCTAGCCCATCATTTTTCCATGATTTAAAAATTGATCCTGGAAAAAAAAAATCAGTGATCAAAACATTTTAGAAAATGCTGGGTTAAACAAATTAAAAGAGGTCTCTTCAATACAGGACTTCTCAGAGCCTTCAAAATAAGAGGCAACCAGGATGGCAGTGTTTTCAAAGCTAGTTTGAGCCTGGAACTTTTCATATCTGTGTGTGAACCATCTCATGGGACTTGGGATCCATGAAACATTATTTGATATGATGAATGCTTGTTGTTTCTGTCTGTCCAGCTTCCATCTTTCTCTTACCCCCTTCTTCTGGTGACAGGATAACTCTCTTGAATCAGAGACCTTTTCCTTCTGGTATCAGTGGGACTGACCTTTCCACCATCATCTTCAAAAACAGAATTGTCACATCATCTAGTCGTGTCCACAGTGGTTGACTGAGGTCGGGAAGTTATCTAAACTGGGACAACCAGAGTCCTTAGGGAGATTTCCTAACAACCATTTCAGGTTTCAGGAAGCACTTGTTCTTTCTTTCACTGGGGCTGTTGAGTTCCTAGAATATTAGTGGGCCAGGGGTCTAATGGCTATGAGGTATGGAGAAACTATTGGAATAGAAACCAAGCCAAGAGCGATAACAGAATTGACAGCTAGAGAGAAAGCAGAACCCTGACAGTATTTCCTAAGCCCCTGGACCCAGTCAAGCCTGAAACTGGTTCCATTCCTCTGACTCCTTAATTACATGAGCTAAGAAATCCTACCCCTCCATTTTTATTTTACTACTGTTAATAATTTTATTCTTGCTGAAGGTAGTTTGAATTCACCTTTTCGTCTCTCACAAATAAAACATGCCTGGCTAATAGATGGAGAAAACACAGCCTCTTCTGGCTCGAAGTACATGCCATGCTGCCTTGGGTCAGAATCCCCCTGCTGGCTTTGAATCCTTACAACACAATCCCCAAGGTCAGGCCCTGTGCTTGGTGTTCCGTCCCAGCCACTTGAGGTCCCCTGAAGAGAGAAGGCCGTATAGAGGTCAGGGCTTGAATGGGAGAAGACAGAGGGAGTGAGACAAGACCACCAGGAGCCTCCATCCATGAATAATCTTTCCAAAGCCAGGTCTCAGTCTCCACATTCTGGGTCTTGGCTTTGTGTGCACCCACTAGGTGGGACTTCAGGGCATGGTCACCCAGCCCTGTGCCACTTCTTAAATTATGCCATGATTCTCCATGTGCCCTGAATTTCCATCTTCTCTGCTGTTATACCATTCCAACACCAAAGATCATTGATTCCAACCCTGGAATGATGTACTTGGTGCAACTAGAAAACAACATATGTTGACTTGAATGATATTCAGATTAATAAATGAGAGACTCCAAGGCCTTGCAGCTGAGAAGCAGCTTTAATTTGGAAATTACTCACGTGGAATGGCAGCAGTGCCAAGAATACAGGTGTAAACAAGTGGCAGAAATGAGAAGAACCTGATGCGTGAAGAGAACAATGAAAATATTACCTCGTATGCTAAACAGCCCTCAACATTGGGAAAAAGCTTCCACAATCTTGCTGATGCTGAAACCACCTCTGAGCAGATGAAGATGATCAGCCCCCTTTTGCGAAGGAGATCATCAAAGTGGCCAAGAATATACAAAGTGACCCAAAGTGCCCAATGTCAGGTAGGCAGAGGGGGCAGTCAGGGCTTGAATGTGAGATGCCTGACACAGATCCAGGTCTCTTTGCAAGTCGGATAGGGATGGTTAGCTGGTTTCCATCTCCGATCAACATGAAACTGACTCTATTTCCCATTTTTCAGCCATCCCAAAGGCTCCACCCCAAAATCCAAAGTTTGCCTCAACACTAAACACCATTTTGATAGAATGTCTACGTTTTCCTTCAACCATTAGCCTTCCCAGTTGCCACGTGGGAAAACTGCGTCTATAGATTCCAGCTCAAACAATAAAGGGTTAAGGGATAAAAAATAGTATGATAGCAATTAAAGCTCTTCTTTTTCCTGATCACTTATTTCTTGATTTGGTAGCTAAAAGCCTATTATGGCATCTTAAGACATCAAAGAGTGGTTTCTGTGGGGGGAAGGAGGCAATCCTTTAAAATATGGTGGACATAAGTAGATCTTCTCTCTGTTTGCAAACCCAACCAACTCCATTAAGATGAACTAACTGTCCCTAATAAGGACAGCAGCCATCGGTTAAACAATTAACATATCTTTAGAGTCCTTCTCCCCAAATCATCCATAAGCTCCAGGAAAAAACATGTGCCTGCCTTGTTCCTTATTCTGTATGTTCAGCTATATTATTCTAGATGCTTCAAGAAAAACATGTGCCTGCCTTGTTCCTTATTCCGTATGTTCAGCTATATTATTCTAGATGCTTCAAGAAAAACATGCGCCTGCCTTGTTCCTTATTCCGTATGTTCAGCTATATTATTCTAGATGCTTCAAGAAAAACATGTGCCTGTCTTGTTCCTTATTCCGTATGTTCAGCTATATTATTCTACATGCTTCAAGAAAAACATGCGCCTGCCTTGTTCCTTATTCCGTATGTTCAGCTATATTATTCTAGATGCTTCAAGAAAAACATGCGCCTGCCTTGTTCCTTATTCCGTATGTTCAGCTATATTATTCTAGATGCTTCAAGAAAAACATGCGCCTGCCTTGTTCCTTATTTCGTATGTTCAGCTGTATTATTCTACATGCTTCAAGAAAAACATGCGCCTGCCATGTTCCTTATTCCGTATGTTCAGCTGTATTATTCTACATGCTTCAAGAAAAACATGTGCCTGTCTTGTTCCTTATTCTATATGCTCAGTAGGAGCAGAGCACAGAGCATGAAGTAAGTGCTTAGATCAGAAAATAATTCAGCGATTGAATGAATTAACCATTGAGATGAGACGATCGAGTCAGCATAAGCGTAACTTTTTTTGTTTGCTGATCCTAGGGAAACATTACCTTCTAAAATGTATAGCCAGTAATAACTTTGTACTAAGTCTACTATTATTCAACAAAGCAGCTATTGATCACCTACTATGTGTCAGGGGTGCCTTAGATTGAGAGCCACTTCATACGCTTTTTTGGGAAATGCACAGACACTCAAACATATAAACATATCTACACAAATGTACACGTGTACACGCACATATCCACAGACATATACATATGCCATATAGTTTTAAAGTCTTGGCTTGATTCTCTACTAGTCAAGCTATGCCTGGGTTTAACCTGTGCCTGCCTATTCCCTTCCACAGCTGTAAGGGCTTGATCTTCACTCACAGTTACTCCTCGGTACGAAGGACTGTGCTTGCCTACAGATTGGGCCATAGTTAAGCATCTGCTGCACCCGTGCTTTGGAGCGGACTTTGGGTATTTGTCTGCACTGGCCCATAATCTGATCTTCCACTTGGGCCTCTGCTTTGTCCTCTGTTCCCTCAGCCCTCGCCTGTGCCCTGGTTTTTCTCAGACACTTTGGCTTGGATCTCAGGCTTGGAGATGTCTGAGCCCTGTCTTGGTCTTCTTGGGCCTGGACCCCAGCCCGAAATGGACTCCCCTGATGCCGCCTTCTCTGATCTCTTCAATGCTCTGCCCTTGGGACACTTTGGAATCCCACAGATCGTGCTTGCTAGAACTTGAGCTGACTCCATGAGTGGCCAACTTTTTCCTACCAACTTGAACCCACTTCAGGCACCACCCTGTGGAATGCCTTTTCCAGGTGGTGGGATTAGCTCTGTTTCTTCTGTCTGCCCCACCCTACTGTAAGCAAATGGACAAGGTCCTGTGGGGAGGCATGGCTGTTGCCCATCTATCTGCTTTGAATAAATGTGCATGAGGCTTCTTTAGTTGTAAACTCTTAGAACAGGGTTCTAAGCCTTATTGACATTTTGGGCTGGACAATTCTTTGTGGTGGGAGTTGTCCCGTACATTCTCAGATGCTTTGCAGCATCCGTAGCCTCTGTGTACTAGATATGAGTAGCATCCCTAAGTTGGGACAACCAAAAATGTCTCCAGACTTTGCTAAGATCCTTTTGGGGGTAAATTGTCTCCAGTTAAGAATACTGCCTGGCTGGATGCAGTGGCTCACGCCTGTAATCCCAGCACTTTGGGAAGCCGAGGCGGGTGGATCAGGAGATCAGGAGATGGAGACCATCCTAGCTAACATGGTGAAACCCTGTCTCTACTAAAAATACAAAAACATTAGCTGGATGTGGTGGCATGGGCCTGTAGTCCCAGCTACTCAGGAGGCTGAGGCAGGAGAATCGCTTGAACCTGGGAGGTGAAGGTTGCAGTGAGCCAAGATTGCGCCACTGTACTCCAGCCTGGGAGACAGAGCGTGACTCCGTCTCAAAAAAAAAAAAAAAAAAATGCAACCACTGCCTTAGAAATTCTGGTTGGTTTCCTCTCCTCTGAGTAGAAAACATGTTGTTATTCCCATATCTCACTCCATGGTAGAAAGGGCCTGTGAGTCACATGATCCAGGGACAATAACTATCCTGCAAAATTGCTATGGAAAGTAACACTGTTGGAGTGGGCATCTGTGGCTAATGTCTGTCATGCCGTTCTCCGTACGGCACCTTTGATTTTCCTTTGGGGAACTACCTCCTCTCCAATCACAGCCTGTGGAATCTGGGTGCAGTCCATCCTCCTAGCCACAGAGATCGGTTGAGGCATGAGCAATGACTGAAGTTGGTCTAGTGAGAGTCAGCCCTGAGACTTTTGCTGAACTCTTGGGATAAGAAAATTCTTTTGCCTACTAGGGATTTTAGCTGGGAGGGAGCAAACCTAGAGCTGTTTGTGGTCAATTCAGCCATCTTACACCTCAACTTCTGCAAAGTGTAAGTGATAAAAAGAGCATGTGGGATAGCAAAGCAAACTGATGGTGACTGTGAACATCTGGATATAACCATACCTAAAGCTCATGCACTGTTGCACATGGCAGCCGGTCTATCCTTCCTTTGCTTAAACTGTTTTGAGTTGGGTTTCTGTCCTTTTCAACCAAAAGAGCGGTGATGAATATATCCAGGCTGCATAGCACCCAGCATTGTGCTAAAACATAACAGTGACAATATAAAGGAAATATTGTTACTCATTATTTAGTTGCTAACTATCTGTGCACCTCGCATGTGCCAAATGTAATGCTGGCTGTGAAGTGATGAGAATAGCCATAACATACTAGAAGGCTCGGGTTGCAGTCCTGGCCTCATCACCTACATGTGATCTTGGCTAAGTTACTAATCCTATCTGAGCATGTTCCTCTTATCTGTAAGAAGATAGAATTGATCCTGGTCAACATGGTGAAACCCCAACTCTACTAAAAATACAAAAAATTAGCTGGGCATGGTAGTGCGTGCCTGTAATCCCAGCTACTCAGGAGGCTGAGGCAGGAGAATTGCCTGAACCCAGGAGGCAGAGGTTGCGGTAAGCCGAGATCGCGCCATTGCACTCCAGCCGGCGTAACAAGAGTGAAACTCCATCTCAAAAAAAAAAAAAAAGAAAAGAAAAGAAGATAGAATTGAAATAGATCAGACATTGCAGATCGATGGTCAGGGGATATATGCACCTTCTTTTGGTGTTTCATTTCACCTGCACAGTATTTTACAATACATAAAATGTCATAAGAAAATTCAGATGTCCAACTTCTTTAGGAAAATTGGGAGGTCAGCAACACTGAGCCCTTATTACATGACAAGGACAAACTGGGTTTAGAAGGGACATATATTCTCTGAGCCACCCGAGTCCCCACCTCTTCTCCTTATTTCATGCTGCCCTGCCTCACTCAGCCCTCGACCTGCTGACCGCAAAAGCATTTGAGTTTGTGTTTTCAAGCCCGTGTTCTTTCACCTCTAGTATTTTCTGAGAAGGCAGAACACACCCTTCACGAACAGGAGACCAAAAGGCAAGAGGGTCAAAGGAGAGAGAGTGAACCCAAGAGGGGACACAGCCACCCAGGAAAGCAATCTCTTAGTCCAACCTCTGCAGGGCCACTAGCAGGTTCCCAGGCTTCAGACAGTGCAGCAGTCGGGGGTAGAGACAAGCAAGCCGAGATTGTCTTTGCTTTTCAGCCAGACAAAGAAAATCCCTCTCTGCGTAAAGCCTCCTCCTCAGACTTTGATGTCTCTCTTCCCAGCAGAGGCGCCACTTCAGACAAGAGAGGCAGGCAGGGGCAGAGAACTGAGAACAAAGCGGCGTTTCCTGGGCTGCTAATTATTCTCCTTCTGTGTAAATAATTATCTGGAAGAGGAAAAAAACAGTCCATGGCTAAAGAGCTGGAAAAGCAAAAGGAAGATAAAAGGAGGCTGGGGATTTGATGTGTCCCTGGGAGCAGTCCTTGAAGGGAAAGCGAGTCACAGCAAAATCCTTCTTACTTCCTGTGTTTTAAACACCTAGTCTGGGACTTTCAAAGCCCCTGGCACCGGTACTGTAATTAAATCGTGCTTCCGGAAGCCAGCGTGTGTGTGATCTGACAGTTTCTGTCTCTGGATCCTGGTGGACTCTGCTGGAATAGAGGCAGGACGTCTTAGAAATTAAGGCTCTGAAGTCAACTGGGCCCCAGTTTGAACCTGGTTCTATGGCTTATTATAAACAGGATCGGGGACAAGTTGCTTATTATACATGAGATGGGGGACAAGTTCCTTCTTCCCACCTAGGGCCCATGCAAAAGCAGTGTCGTCTACTCGGAAGACTTCCCCATCTCTCTAAATCTGTGTGCAGTCGATATTTACACATCTTTAGTGGACCCTAGTGGTGCCCTACCACAGCCCCTTGCACTTACCGTTTCTGTGCATGCCCACCCAACTACCAACCGCCAGCAGCCCTTGGAATGTTTCTCCTGGGCACTTGAACCCTGGCTGCTCTTGCAGAAGGACTTAAAGCATCAGAACATCAAAATTAATGCTCTGTGGGAATCCCTCAACCAGCGACTGATGAGAATTAGGAGATAAAGACCCATGCCGGCCGCGGTGGCTCAAGCCTGTAATCCCAGCACTTTGGGAGGCCGAGGCGGGTGGATCATAAGGTCAAGAGATCGAGACCATCCTGGTCAACATGGTAAACCCCATCTCTACTAAAAATACAAAAAATTAGCTGGGCATGGTGGTGTGTACCTGTAATCCCAGCTACTCAGGAGGCTGAGGCAGGAGAATTGCCTGAACCCAGGAGGCAGAGGTTGCAGCGAGCCAAGATAGCACCATTGCACTCCAGCCTGGGTAACAAGAACGAAACTCCAACTCAAAAAAAAAAAAAAAAAAAAAAAGGAGATAAAGACCCTTGCCCTCTCATCCCCTAAGTGATGGGAGTTTGAGGGTAGCCTGTGCTCCACAGAGCCTCCCAGTTTCCAGACAGGAACTCTAGTTTCCTGGAATGGCTCCTGGCTGGATAATGCACCTTCTACTGGTTCTTTCCTATCCCTGTCTCATCTCTTCACTCCTCTACAAGTGCTTCCCTGTGTTGTACTGGAGCAAGCATAGAAAGTCAACACCAAGAAAAAAGTCTGCCAAATTTCAGGGTCTTTATTGCTGGCGACCACGGAGGACTCACATCTCTCCAACCTGTGGCCCTGAAAGGAGGGTGTCAAGACCTTTTATACCCGTAACCCACCTTGGGGGTGAGGGTGAGAGGCGGGGATGGGGGTGAGGGGCTTCAGACATTCCAAGGGCCTGTGGACGTTGGACATTCTGTAAAC